GACTCCTCGTTCCTCACGTGGTTGCCGAGGCATGCAGCGTGGCTCTACAACAGATGCATTGTCAGGGAGGACACCAACCTCGCGCATTACGAGAAGACCCACATGCTCAAGTACCAGAAGCCCATCGCTGCAGTCGGCGAGGCAGTGATCTGCGGGAGGCCAGCAGCCCGGGTCAAAAAGCTTAAGTTGTCGTGGCTGGAGGGCACCTGGCCAGAACGCGACGCGAGGTCGGGCGAGCGCTTGATCGGAACACCGACGGGAGCGCGCAGATCCAGGGCGGCGAAGAGGAAGGTGGAGAGCCGACGCTGGGACAAGGAGCTGTCGACAAGATGAGGTGGACACCTTGAGAACCGACGCCAACCGCGAGGGGGTGACCACCAACGCAGAGGTCACTACAGGAACCGGTTCTACTCGGGCCGTTACCGAAGCACCTGGGCCCGAACGCGGCAGCCGCGGCCGCAGCAGGAGCGGCAATAGCAGAAGGAGGACCACAACCAGCACCACCACAGCCAGCAGCAGCAGCAGCGGCGGCAGCTCCGCACGACGACGCGGACATGAGACAGGAGGCGACTGGAGGCGAAGAGGCCCAGGGACGAGGCGGCAGGGCCGTCAACGCTGAGGGCTGCGGGCGGCACCACCGCAGCCAGTGGGCATTCCGCTGGTAGAGAAGGAAGCGAAGGCAAGAAGTACAGGGCCACTACCATCCAGATGATCAATGCGGCCAGGGAGATGTGCGAGGAGCCGCAGTTGGAGGACGAGGAGACGCACGCACTGGAGGGCGACTTCACGGAGGCAAGGAAGAGGGACTTGGAGAAGACCGCGGGAGACGGCAAGAATATCGTAAAGGTGATCCCGATCCAGGACACGACGTCCAAGATCCTGACGGGGAAGTGGGTCGACACCTATCAGGCGGACGGCAGCAGTGAGAGTCGGTAGACCACGAGGAGCCTCGAGCAGCAGGTGCACGGGCGCGAGAACTTCGTGGCCACGACCCCCTCACTTCCGCACCTGAAGGCGTTGCTGGTCAACGCGGAGTTGCACGACCACGTGGTGGCGCTCGGCGACTGCAGTGGGGCTTTCTACCAGGCGCCGCTCACCGAGGACCGCATCTTCCTGGGGCCACCACCAGGAGCAGGAGTACCTGAAGGACACGCGTTGGGAGGCGCTGCGCGCGCTCCCAGGACCCAAAGGAGCACCGAAGGCGTGGGGGGATTTCCGTGCGAACACCGCGGAGGAGCTTGAGATGGCCGGAGGTCACTACGATGGGCGTCTCTTCATGAAGCTGAGCAACAGGATGAAGGCAGGGAGACGCGCCGACGACTCCTAACCACTGGGCCGAGCGACGCGGTCGACAAGATGTTAGAGGTGGTGGGGGAGAGACTGAAATTGCCGGACGTGGTGAAGCTCACCAAGAACGGAGACCAGGCGATGTTTCTGAGCATGCATGCGGAGAAGGTCGAGGGTGGCTACACGATCAGCGGCAAGACGAGCTTGATCGACGACATCCTGAAGGAGCTGGGCCTGGAGACGGCGAAGCGATCAGTACTGCCTGTGACCAAGAACGAAGTTCACATGAAGGGCGGCGCGGTGGAGCTAGACACGGTGGGCCATAGTCGCTACAGGACCTGTGTGGGGAAGCTCTTACAGTTGGCGAGCCGCCGTCCTGGCAGTCAACGTGGAGTTGGAGTTCTAAGTTCTAAGCAGGGGCATGTCAGGACCAACGGATAAGGACCTGAGGAGGCTGAAGCAGATGACGCGGTACCTTGCAGGCGCGCGAGACTACAAGATGCAGTTGATTTCGAACAAAGGAGGCATTTCAGTGGAGTGCTGGGTGGACGCAGACTGGGCCGATGACAAGACGGACAGGGTCTCGACGAGTGGCGGCATCCTGAAGTACCACGGATGCACCGTCCTGTCGTGGTCGAGACGCCAGAGCTGCGTGGCATTGAGTTCGGCGGAGAGCGAGCTATACGCGCTGGGTTCGGGAGCAGCGGAGGTTCTCGGACTGGCATCACTACTCGAGGAGTGGAAGGAGAAGACGGTACCGCTCGTGATGAGCGACAGCAGCAGTGCGCTACACATCGTGACGAAGCGCGGGCCAGGAAAGATGAAAAACATGGAGATGCGCTTCCTGGCGCTGCCGCAGTGGCGAGAACAAGGCTGATTGAGTTCCGGCAAGGTTTGCACTCACGAGAACCCGAGCGAAATTATTACCGAGCCGATGACCAGGGAGAAGCTGGAGAAAGTCACGGAGATGGTCGGCTTGGCACGCTCGCAGGGAGATAGAGGCTTGAGTCTTGAGCCCAGGCGGACGAGAAAGGAATGAGTGAGGAGGTTATTTGCCTGTGTAGTAGAGTATGGGAATGTGAATTTTTGAGGGGGGAAGGGCCTCAGTGGCCTAGCTACCCCCATTCCATGTTAGAAGCTGCTTGAGATTGCGTTTCCCTCCGAGGTCTGGCTCCAGAGTGAACCTGGCGACCTCGAGGGCGTGTTGAGGGAAACCATGGAGAGAGAACAGGCTTAACTAGAGCCTGAGGCGCTACCCTTGCGCTACCCGTTCCGCAGCCTCTTTGGCACAAAAGTTATCAGTTTTGGTGTTTTTACAATGACAAGCGCGACGTGCCCACACCAAAAAACCAATGGACGTCCTGGGGCCTCAGGGTTGGGTTTCTGGTGGAAGGTTTCTTGTGGTCGGGCCCCTACTGTACTCCGCAGGAGAATTTGGCGACCCCTTTAACTAGTGGCGGCTCTCTTTGGCACTGGAGTGCACCCGCCCTGACTGATGGGCGTCGCGAAGAAATCTCGGAGGGCGTGTTTGGCCTTGTCGTGGGCCCCGGGGCCCTCGCGGACCGATGCAATTCGGAAAGCCCCAGCGGGAAGTCGTGTCGATGGCTCCGGCCATGTTTTTGTCATGCTGTCGAGCTTTTTTCCCCAGCCATCCCATATTGGTTTTCGTTTTGAAGAGGCAGCGCCCCGCGTCTCCTCTTTCCTCTCCTCTCCTCCTCCTCCCCCTCCTCCCTCATCCTCCTCCTTGCCTAAGCCCTCCTTGTCGCCATAGTCATCATCATCATCATCATCATCATCATCATCACCATCATCATCAACATCGTCATCATCATGATCATCATCATCATCACCATCATCATCTTCATCCTCATCATAATCAGCATCATCATCCTAGTCATCATCCGCATCAAAATCGTCATCATCGCCATCATCAGCATCATCACCACCATCATTATGTTCATCAGCATCACCATCGTCATCGTCATCGTCATCAGCATCATCATCAGCAACAGTAGCAGCAGCAGCAGCATCATCAGCATCATCATCATCATCATCATCATCATCATCATCATCATCATTAACATGATCATCATCATCACCATCACCATCACAACCGTCGTGATCATCACCTTCATCGTCACCAACAGCATCAGTATCATCAGTATCATTATTATAATCATTATCATCAGCATCATTATCATCGTCATCATGACCGTTATCGTCAGCATCCTTATCATCCTCATCATCATCATCAGCGTCATCATAATCGTCACAACCATCACCATCACCATCATCATCAGCATCATCATCATCATCACCCGATCTATCATCATTATCACCACCATCACTATCATTAGAATAATCATCATCATCGTCAGCATCGTCTTCATCGTCATCATCCTCATCATCGTCGTCGTCATCATCATCAGAATCATCAGCATCATCATGGCACACCCCTCACACGCCACGTGGCACCATAGAGAGGTTCACCGCGGCCTCAGTGGGGAGTTCTCATGGCACCACCGCCCCAGTTCGGCGAAACCCTCACACGGTTCGTGCCCCCATAGGGGTCCCCACCGCAGGCCTCAGTGGGAAAGCGAATGCAGTTCCACCCCCCATTTCGGCGCACCCCTCACACGTTTTGTGGCCCCATCAGGGGGCCCCACATAAGGCCCGTGTGGGAAAGTTCGGAAGCAGTTCCACCCCCCATGTCGGCACACCCCTCACACGTTTTGTGGCCCTATAGGGGGCCCCACCGAAGGCCCGAGAGGGAAAGTTCGCATGCAGTTCTACCCCGCATTTCGGCGCACCCCTCACACGGTTCGTCGCCCCATACGGGGCCCCACCGAAGGCCCCAGTGGGAAAGTTCGCACGCAGTTCCACCCCCCCATTCCGTCGCACCCCTCATACGGTTCGTGGCCCCACAGGGAGCTCCACCGCAGGCCTTAGTGGGAAAGTTCGCATGTAGTTCCACCCCCCTTTTCGGCGAACCCCTCATACAGTTCGTGGCCCCATAGGGTGCCCCACCGAAGGCCTCAGTTCCACCATCAGTCCGGCGCACCCCTCACACGGTTCGTGGCCCCAGTGGGAGATCCATGGAAGGCCCCAGTTGCAGGGTTCGCATGTGGTTCCACCCCCTAATTCGGCGCACCATTCACACGCTCCGTGGCCCCACAAGGGGCTCCACCAAAGGCCTCAGTGGCAGTGTTCGCATGCGGTTCCACCCACCATTTCGGCGATCCCCTCACACGGTTCGTGACCCCATAGGGTGCCCCACAGAAGGCCCCAGTGGCAAGGTTCGCATGCGGTTCCACCCACCATTTCGGCGGACCCCTTTCACGCTCCGTGGCCCATATGGAGCTCCACCGAAGGCCCCACTGGCAAGGTTCGCATGCGGTTCCACCCCCCATTTCCTCGCACCCCCACACGGTTCGTGGCTCCATAGGGAGCTTCATCGAAGGCCCCAGCTGTAGGGTTCGCATGCAGTTCCACCCCAATTTCGGTACACCCCTCACACGTCTCATGGCCGCGTTGGGAGCTTCACCGAAGGCCACAGGGGCAGCGCCCGCATGCGATTCCACCCATATTTCGGCGAACCCCTCACACGGTTCCCCTCACCCGCATTTCGGCGAACCCGTGTTCTCCGCACTTAATCCCAGCACCCGCCCGGCCAGGATCGATCAGTGCAGGTGTGTTGCTGGCGCTCTCCCGAGGATCTCAAGCGGGAGTCGTTCAAGCGGGAGTCGTCGCTGCTCTCCGTCTCGGACGCGGACGGGGGTGGCGGTTCTCCGCCGAGAGGAACGAGAGCACCGATGCCAATCAGAATCCTGGCATGCTCTGTTCGGTCGGTGCCACTGTTCCCAATTCGAATCCGAGGTGCCCCTCCGACAGCGGATTGCCTGCTGGATCCAGCTCGCCGCTAATCAGCACGTTCTGTTCGGTCGGTGCGGGTGCACCTTCCCTGACTGCCTCCAATGGTGGGCTTCCCCTGTGGCGCACGGTTCGTCCCCCCCACACAGAACTGCTCCCTGGAGGTCACCTGCTCCCGCTGCAGAATCCAGCGCGGAGCGTTTCGTGCGTGCCCGTTCGAGGGTGGTGTCCCCCAGGTCCTGAGTCCAGAGACCGCGGTGGGGACACCGGATTCGTGTTTCCCATCTCTCTTTTCAGAGCCCCAGGATCACCCCGATGCAGCACGCCACACATGTCATTTGGCACTGCAATGGGGAACCGCAAGGGAGCGCTCAGTCACCACAGGATCAGATTCTCTCACTCAGACATTCACATACAGAAGCGTCAGAAGCTGAAATACACAGATGGGGAATTTCCGCGCCGACTAATTGCTGAATGTTGGCTCTCCATGTCCGGAAAACGCAGCAGGGTAGGCTCCTCTGGTCCAGAAGTCGTGACGACCGCACTGGATTCTCACCATGATTGGCTCCAGGTCCAGACAGTGCGGCGCGGGAGCCAGATCCTCACCATTTCGAGGCTACCAGGTCCACAGGGTACGGCGGGGCCACAACATTCGCACCATCCTTGATTCTTCAGGGCCCAAGAGAGAGCGTCATGGGCACTGGACTTTCACCTGTCCTGGCGCACGAGGTCCAGGAAGTGCGGCCAGGTCATAGGTGTCTTACATCAAGAGAGGAAAAACCGCCCGGACCGGACAATTGGCGTCTACGAAGCGGCCCTGGGCGTTTGTCTACCACACGGCCCTGCCCTGTTTGATTCGTTATTTGGCTGCGTTTGCGAAACCCGCTTCGCGTGTCGGGGTGGTCATTATCGGGGTGGATGTTTTGCCCTCCACTACAGCCCCCGTTTTTTTGTTTGTTTTTTATTTTTTTGTTTTACGCCCCACGGCTATCGCTGCTCTCTTCTTGCTTCCTCAAGCACTGGCGGAAGAAAACGGTTGCATTTGAGAAGCGTTTTATTCCTCACTTACAGCCACTGCGAAGTATTATACAACATCCCAGCCCCACCAGCTGGACATCCCAGCCCCACCAGCCACCAGCTTACAGCCCCCGAAATCGGATGTGCTGAGTGCGTCCACGCGGTGCCCCCCACACGTCTCGACCCTTTTCCGCTGGGGCGGGCGGTGCACCCCGACTCGTGTCCAGTCGGGCCTGTCCCTCTACAGGAGGAGTCTTCCAGATAGTCAAAGAATAGTCTGGGGACGATTTGTTTTAAACATGTGCTGTTTTTGGGGTGAAAAAATATTGGGGTAGTTTCCATGTTTCGTCCCCCTGTAGGGGGACACGCCCGACTTAAGGCTTGCCCCTTGACGGTCCCGTTGGCCGAGCTGGGGCCCCCCGAAAGGCCGCAGACGGCGGACAAAACCATCTCCGCCTCGCTGCTTGTGGAAGCACGCGGGAGGCCTGTGATCTTCGAGGTGGCGGGGGGGGCGCAGGATTCTCGCCAGCCTGGGTCCTGCCATGTCCAGGGACCGTGATCGGCGCAGTGGGCTCTCGCTATTGTTCCAGGCCTCGAGGAGGAGGAGGAGGAGGAGGAGGGTCATCATGCCTCCGCGCATAGAACATTCAAGACATTGTCGATTCCACGAGTCACATTGGACAATTGCTTGCATGCTGTTGTCACGCTTCACTGCGATGGCCTTCCCTCGGCGCAGGCTCGAGGGTGAGCGTCGCTGGCACCGTCTTCAGGATACCGGCCTCGGAGGTGACCAGGTTCCTCCACATGTTTAACATCGACATGTGGAACACGGACAACGCAACGATCTGTGCAAGCGATCTCTTCGAAGTTTTGGAGCAGCGGGGTTTGCGCGGTCTGTCGATGGAGCGCGTCTCTTGCGTGATGCGGCGGCTCGTCGAAACCAACGAGATCAGACTCTCCCGGCAATCGCCTACTGCGACAGCGCAGACGCGTTGCACAGATGATACATGCCAGAGACTGGGTCCACCTAACGACGACAGCTTCCAAGTGCCATTCAGACATTTTATGGGAATCATTTTCTCCAAGGACATCGCCAGGGGCTTGAGCAGCGATGATGCTCAGGATGCCAAGCGTTGGCAGCAGTGCCTTATGACTCAGACGATCGAAGAAGTGATCGACAGGCTAGCTTACTCTGGTAGCCCCCCAAGCTTGCACGCTCTGGAGACTACATGGAGCGCTCGAGAGAAGCAGAAACAACGCTTGGTGAGATCGCAGAGAACAGGTCTGTCCAGATGAAATGGAGCTCCCCACTTTTGGTCCCTCTCGAAAGAAGCAGATGGACCTGTGTTTGTTGTGCTCTTCAGTTTCTTGGATGGCCGAGGTCGTTCCAGCTGCTTGTTTTTGTCGAGAGACTCGGGGCAGTTTATCAGAGTGAGGGGGCCGAACGGTCATTCACTGTCCCTGGGTGCGTGGCTGAAGTGGAATTCCGCGGTGCGGATTCTCGTTGTTGTTGTTTGTTGCTGTTGTTGTTTGTTGTCGTCGTCCCACCCGCAACCCGCCCCGCGACCCACCCGCGACCCAACCCGCGACCCACCCCGCGACCCACCCGCGACCCACCCGCGACCCACCCGCGACCCACCCCGCGACCCACCCCGCGACCCACCCCGCGACCCACCCCGCGACCCACCCCGCGACCCACCCGCGACCCGCCCGCGGCCCACCCCGCGACCCACCCGCGACCACCCGCGACCCCCGCGACCCACCCGCGACCCACCTTCGACCCAAACCACGTTCAAGGTACAAACCACCATTTTCGGCGCCTGCGGCGGGCTTTTTTTGCATTCCTTCCAGGTGGAGAGCCCGCGACCCACCCCGTGACCAACTCGCGACCAACCCGCGACCCAAACCACGTTCAGGGTACAAACCACATTTTTCGGCGCCTGCGGCGGGCATCTTTTGCATTCGTTTCAGGTGGAGAGCCCGCGGCCCACCCGCGACCACGTTCAGGGTACAAACCACATTTTTCGGCGCCTGCGGCGGGCATCTTTTGCATTCGCTCCCGGTGGAGAACCCGCGGCCCACCCGCGACCCAAACCACGTTCAGTGTACAAACCAATGTTTTTGGCGCCTGCGGCGGGCTGCTTTTGCATTCCTTCCAGGTGGAGGTGGAGAGCCCGCGACCCACCCGCGACCTAAACCACGTTCACTGAACAAACCAATGCCGCACAAGCGCGGCGGCGGATTTTTGCATGCCGTCTGAGCCCGCAAGGACCTCTTCAAGCCCCGCGCATCCACACCAGCCCGTCCAGCAACTTTGCCCTGGCGAGTTGCCTTGATCAGAGAAGGCGGGGAGCATAAAGTGGAAAAAAGGATTGCGTTGCAGTTATCTTGGGAAAGGAGGGGGAGGCAGGAGGAGTAAACAGGGGACGAGGAGAACGCGGAAGAAGAGAGGATGTAAGGAGAATGTGGAGAAAGAAAAGGAGGAGGAGCAGGAGGACGAGGAGGGGGAGGAGGGGGAGGAGGAGGACGAGGAGGGGGAGGAGGGGAATGATGATGATGATGATGATGATGATGATGATGATGATGATGATGATGATGATGATGATGATGATGGGAGGACGATGATGGAGGCCGATGAGGGGGAGGACGACAATCGGAGGACGATGATGAAAGGACGAGGGGGGAGAGGGAGGACGAGGAAGAAGAGGAGGAGGAGGACAAGATGGAGGAGGAGGATGACGATGACGATGAGGACGAGGACGAGGAAGAGGAGGAGGAGGAGGAGGGGGAGGAGGAGAGCGCCATCGACAGGGAAGGTGGGGGCCACGAGGTCCGCCGGCTCGACGACGCCCGCGTCGCCCGCGCCCGCCCCCTCACTCTTATCCGCAATTGCGGGGTGCTACTTACGTATGTAGCACCCCGCGGTTGCGGATAAGAGTGAGGGGGCGGGTGCAGGGTGGGTCGCGGGTGGGTTTCGGGGTGGGTCGCGGGTGGGTCGCGGGTGGGTTGCGGGGTGGGTCGCGGGTGGGTCGCGGGTTGGTCGTGGGAGGGTCCGGGGTGGGTCGCGGGTGGGTTGCGGCTGGGTCGCGGATGGGTCGCGGGTGGGGCGCAGGTGGGTTTCGGGTGGGTCCCGGGTGGATCGCGGGTGGGTCGCGGACCTGGTAGCGAGTGGGACGACGACCATAATAACAATATCAACAACAACAACGATCATTTTAATATTGGTCGTTCTTACTTGCTTGCGGGCCGTTCAACACGGGACGGATCATAAGAGATAGAGAGTAGCCGGAGGGGGCGGGCAGATTGGGCGGGTAGACCCTGACCAGCGGGTCGGGAAGACGGGCCCAGGCGGCCAGGTCAAGTAGGCAGGTTGTTGAAGCGTGCGTCCTGCATGAATCGAGAAGGGGTTTAAAAGCGCGAGCGCGATTCCCACTGTAAACCGTTAGGAAATCCACAGCGAGAGCGTCATTCTTGAGTGTCGAGGGCGCGGCGCCTGAGTAAATTGCGAGGAAGTCCCACGCGAGAGCGCGATTCAATTATTATTTGTGAGGACGTCCCGCGCAAGAGCACGATTGGGAGCTATTGTTGTTGTTGTTGCTGTTGTTGTTGTTGTTGTTGTTGTTGCTGTTGTTGTTGTTGTTGTCGTTGTCGTTGTCGTTGTCGTTGTCGTTGTTGCTGTTGCTGTTGTTGTAAACCGGGGGCCAGGGGCCCAATTTGGTGACCCTTCGTTTTCTCTTGTTTAAAACAGGGTGCGATCTCCGGGAGAAGCACCTGGATTGAAACATGCAACGGTCACAGGAGAGGGGGTATCAACAATAATTAGTTCTATAATTGGAAATTCAACCAGAACAGCAGAAACAACAATAATCATGTTACGTAGCACCCCGCAATTGCGGATAAGAGTGAGGGGTCGGGCGCGGGCGACGCGGGAGTCGTCGAGCCGGCGGACCTCGTGGCCCCCACCTGTGTCGATGGCGCTCTCTTCCTCCTCCTCCTCCTCCTCTTCCTCGTCCTCGTCGTCATCGTCATCGTCATCCTCCTCCTCCATCTTGTCCTCCTCCTCTTCTTCCTCGTCCTCCCTCTCCCCCCCTCGTCCTTTCATCATCATCCTCCCATTGTCGTCCTCCCCCCCATCGGCCTCCATCATCGTCCTCCCATTGTCGTCCATCATTATCATCATCATCCCCCTCCTCCCCCTCCTCGTCCTCCTCCCCCTCCTCCCCCTCCTCCCCCTCCTCGTCCTCCTGCTCCTCCTCCTTTTCTTTCTCCACATTCTCCTTACATCCTCTCATCTTCCGCGTTTTCCTCGTCCCCTGTTTACTCCTCCTGCCTTCCCCTCCTTCCCCAAGATAACTGCAACGCAATCCTTCTTTCCACTTTACGCTCCCCGCCTTCTCTGATCAAGGCAACTCGCCAGGGCAAAGTTGCTGGACGGGCTGGTGTGGATGCGCGGGGCTTGAAGAGGTCCTTGCGGGCTCAGGCGGCATGCAAACATGCGCCGCCGCGCTTGTGCAGCATTGGTTTGTTCAGTGAACGTGTTTTAGGTCGCGGGCGGGTCGCGGGCTCTCCACCTCCACATGGAAGGAATGCAAAAGCAGCCCGCCGCACGCGCCAAAAGAATTGGTTTGTACACTGAACGTGGTTTGGGTCGCGGGTGGGCCGCGGGTTCTCCATCGGGAGCGAATGCAAAAGATGCCCGCCGCAGGCGCCGAAAAATGTGGTTTGTACCCTGAACGTGGTCGCGGGTGGGCCGCGGGCTATCCACCTGAAACGAATGCAAAAGATGCCCGCCGCAGGCGCCAAAAAATGTGGTACCCTGAACGTGGTTTGGGTCGCGGGTTAGTCGCGAATTGGTCACGGGGTGGGTCGCGGGCTCTCCACCTGGAAGGAATGCACAAGAAGCCCGCCGCAGGCGCCGAAAATGGTGGTTTGTACCTTGAACGTGGTTGGGGACGAAGGTGGGTCGCGGGTGGGTCGCGGGGTTGGTCGCGGGTGGGTCGCGGGGTGGGCCGCGGGTGGGTCGCGGGTGGATCGCGGGTGGGTCGCGGGGTGGGCCGCGGGCGGGTCGCGGGGTGGGTCGCGGGGTGGGTCGCGGGGTGGGTCGCGGGTGGGTCGCGGGGTGGGTCGCGGGGTGGGTCGCGGGTGGGTCGCGGGTGGGTCGCGGGTGGGTCGCGGGGTGGGTCGCGGGTTGGGTCGCGGGTGGGTCGCGGGGCGGGTTGCGGGTGGGACGACGACAACAAACAACAACAACAAACAACAACAACGAGAATCCGCACCGCGGAATTCCACTTCAGCCACGCACCCAGGGACAGTGAATGACCGTTCGGCCCCCTCACTCTGACGATTTGTCGTTTTTTATTTGCTCGCGGGCCACTTATCACGTATATCTCAACCCTCGATACCTGTTTTTTCGTTTTCGATCGTACCCCGTTGGGGGGGTATTTTCTTTACCTGCCACGTGTATCGTGCAGCCTTTAAGGAAGACGAAGAGAGGACGGATGGAAGGAAGGGACAAAGGGGAGGGATGAGGATGGAGCACGAGAGGGCGAGTAGCAGGAGGGGGGCTCAGAGAGAACACGTGGCGAAGCCAGACGGGCAGATCGGGCGGGTAGACCGTACCGGGCGGGTCGGGAAGGCGGGCCCAGGCGGCCAGGTCGAGCAAGCAGGTTGCTGAAGCGTGCGTCTGCATGAATCGCGAGGAACTTTTGAGCGATAGCACGATTCCCAAGTAAATCGTGAGACAGGTCAGAGCAAGACCGTGTCTCCTGAGTGTCGACGGCGCGGCGCCTCAAACAATTGCAAGGAAATCCGATGCGAGAGCGCGATTCACGTATTATTTGTGAGGAAGTCCCGCGCAAGAGCGTAGTGTGTAAATACATTGTGATGAAGTATCCGGCAGGAGCCTTTGTTTTTGTCACTCGGGGGCCAGGGGCCCAGTTTGGTGGCACCCAGTTTTCCTTTTTGTTAAAAGGAAAACAGGTGCGGCCCCCGGGAGGGGCATTCGAATTGAAAAATACAATGGTTACCGGAGGGGGATCAACAATATTTATTCGTTCGAAATGACAACAGCAACAGCAGCAACAAAACCATCAACAACGATAACAATAGTTATCTTACTATTGTTCGATATGATCAGCTCGCGTGCCATTCAGCATTCAGCACGTATATCCCAAACCCTCGATACCCGCCCTTTCCGGCTTCGATCGTACCCCTTTGTGGTACACCTATCTTACATGCAGCGCGTATTACGTGCAGCCACTAAGGTTGGGGGAGGAAGGACGG